GGTTATTGAGAACGATAGCAGTGAACAAAAGAATCCTCGAAGAATAATGACAATTATTATGGATATACAACTTCTTTTATTCTGTGGAGGCGACGTTTCGACATAGGTTCTAATGTCGTTGTCAAGCAAGTGATACATGAGTAACAAATTGAGAGCATATATACAGGAGTTGTTGTTACAGTAGATAGGAATGAGTTGTTTATACAATAGATGAGGTTGATGTACAACGTTTGTATGAGAGATTGAGTAATTTGATAGGAAGCCAGTAGGGTTACATACAAGGACTGAATTAGAGCTTATACAACTGATAGGAAGCCAGGTGGATGTTTATACAATGGATGGGGTTGATGTACATAGTTGGAATGAAACCGGTAATGTACACAAGAAATATATTGATTACTTTATCAAGTGATGGTAGGCATTGGGAATGTAGTATCCTTCATCTCTGTTGAGGGAGGGTCCTATCTTTTTGATGTGTACTGCTTCCAAAAGTTTACGAATTTTGTAGTCTGACTGGTTCTTTATAATGGTTTTGGTCTTGTCCCATTTGATGGTGTGGTTAGGATGGGCTTTGATGTGGTCGGCAATGGCTGATTTAGAATCATTTTTCCTAACTGAAGCCTGGTGTTCCTTGATCCTGAGGGTGAGTGGCCTTGATGTTTCTCCCAACATAGGAGTCACCGCAGTCACATTCTATGTGGTAAACCACACCTGAGGGGTCTTGCTTCTGGGACGACCTAGGTCTTCCTGTGGCCTGCAAGAGGTTCTGGATGCTGTTGCCTCTTTGGAAGGTGACGTCTTTGTCAGCTTGCTGCTTCAAGAGTCGTCGGATGTGATGGCTATGTACGGGAGACTGGTGGTAAAGGGGGGCTATTTGTTGTCGGGGCGGTTTGTTACTCATGTATCACTTGCTTGACAACGACATTAGAACCTATGTCGAAACGTCGCCTCCAAAGAATAAAAGAAGTTGTATATCCATAATAATTGTCATTATTCTTCATCAACTCAACTTCTAAAATGCCCATCAAAGAAGTCAAATGAATCCTCATTTAACCATTAGTCTTAATCATGGTTTACTGAAGCCTCTGTGGCACCTGCTCTAACGGCAGTCCTGGAGAGTCCCTGTAGAATAGAGGAAGAAGGAAAATAGTAACTTCGTAAACAGTTTATCCGAGCTTCTGAACTAATTATCAGGAGAGGAAATTGAAACCCAATCCAACTGGTTACGGACTCCACAAGTTACATCCATTCCCGAAAATAGCCCCAGCGACACCTTGTAGCGTTTGTGGAAGAGGTTGCCATGTTTCCTTAACACCTGGTGTTAGTGATCTGTTTTTATAATGCGGTGGGCGGAGCCCAGTGGTTAAAGCGCTCCCGTGTCACTGAAGACCTTGTTCGATTCCAAACATGGGTACTATGTGTGAAGCCCATTTCTTGTGTCCCCAGCCATGATAATGCTGGAATATTGGTAAAAGCTGCGTGAAACCGAACTCACTCACTCTTATAATTCGTATAATTTTATTTAAAGTTTCGACCGCCTCCGTGGTGTAGTGGTTAGAGTGTCCGCCCGGAGAGGGGAAGGTCGCGGGTTCGATCCCCGGCCGCGTCATACCAAAAGACCTTAAAATATGGTACTTGTTGGTCCCTGATTGACATTAATAGGTAAAACAAGGACTGGTATAATGTGTCTGAGTGGGGTATTCATGCTTAACTGCGGCATGGCATCGCAGTGAGCTAGCACTTTCAAAACAACTTAAGTCTGGGCTAGTACAAGTAGCCACACATACACATGCATGCACGTCGTCATATGAGCGAAATATTTACAAGTACGACGTTAAACCCCATTTCATCTCACCTTAAAATTTTCACTACTGTTTTGCATTTTGGAATCCTCTTGGTATCAAATGGATACTGATTATTCACGATTGACGATTGTTATTTAAAACTGAATATTTCACATTGTCACAGTCATAGGTTTTGATATTTGAATATGAATTTCCTGAGGATTGATGTTTGTATTTTGTTTTGACATAATCAACAGCATGATAGAGCCAAGAATATGACTTGGGACTGTTCTGTTCGGTACATTTACCATTGTTTGTTTGTCTATTTGTTGTTCAACGCCGCACTCAGCAATATTCCAGTATTCTGTAAAAAGTCGAGTCTAGACCAGAAAATCCAATGATCGATAGCATGAGCACCGATACACTGGAATACCGGCCAACCAAGGCCGACCATCCGATCCCGTTAGTCGCCTGTTACGACAGGCATGGGTTGCTGAAGACTAATTGTAACCCGGATGGTATATTAACCTGGTACATTATAGAGGAGAGACTCAAACATTTGGTTCTTAATAAGTGGAATGATATGCTATAGGCCCCTGAATTCATTGCCAGTTTATCATTATTGTTTTAACTGTTCCATGCTAAACATGTTTCGACTGAAAACATATTCAGATCCTAATAAATATTATGTTTGAAACATGCTTCTAAATATGTTAAATACCTTAACATGTCTAGATATCTAGACCCTTCAAAATGATGTGACTAGCATTACTGTTTATTACCTGAAGATAATGTTTATAGCACACACTTTATCAAACCGTTGAATAAATTAACCATCCGGCAAAGGATATAGATACAGTTGAAAAGCGAAAACGTCTTTCTTATGAACTCAGATACATTTATTACAAGAAACACAAAACAATTGTGATATAATTAACAATACATTAACTAAACTTACACGACTATTTAATGGATTTACGTGAAATACAAATTACTGCAAAGGAATTACAATAGCAGCAGCTCAAATACTAAGGCATTATGATATAACAGCAACGGTTTCAGCAACAAAGACAGACACGATAACATTCAGCAAGCAGCAACTGTTTCCAAACTTGCAAATTGTTCCTGGGTTTGGGATCTCAGGGAAATGTAAAGGTCTTCACATTCTGCTGGTCTTGATGTACTGTGGCATTATAGAATAAATTTCTTCTGAAACATTCTGTAACATGCTGGAATATTCTGACAGCTGCAGAATTTTCCAAATCCCACGGGTCTCCCTGTCTAAATATGTAACTAGGATACAACTGTCCTCTAGTGGATCTCAACAGATCCTGATAGAAAGATCCAGTAGATACTTCCTAACGGAAACTCATACACAAAAGACCTCTATATAACGTCACACTCTGTAAACCGTTTATCCATTTGTACCTGAGAGTCCAAATGATTGTGTTTGTTTAATTCAGCAATATTCCAGCTATATGGCTGCGGTCTGTAAACAATCGAGTCTGGACCAGACAATGTCTTCCTATTCTTCCTATACAGTCCCATTCCGCCTACAGGTGAAAACAACATAATGCGATCCAGTGATGAGGAAGTAAGATTATGTGCTGACCTATTCTACCTTTACTGAACTGGTGGTTTACCAAAAGTCAACTGCAGGCAATACTGAAAAATACGACCAGACAATACAGTGATCAACAACACGGGCATGGATCTACGCAGTTGGGATACGATGACATGTGTCAACCAAATCAGCGAGTCTGACCACCCGATTCCGTTAGTCGCTTTTATGATATGCATGGACTACTGAAGACCAATTCTAACCCGGATCTTCACGGATGTGCCCAATTTGTTCGTGAGAGAGAATTTACGAATATGCCACTACCTACATAAAGAAATAGTCACGATGAGTTTTATCGTTCGTTTCACCACATGGAAGAATAATACTAATTTTATTTCAGTATTTGAGGCCACTTGGCCAAGAGTAAAAACATTTAAAACAGTATTTTGCGGATGGACAGATAAAACAATGTCATTATGACATTTTCATACAGGCAAGTTACGCTTTAGAAATATTGCAATAGATTTCAATAGATGTACACTTGTTGTTGATAAAAGTTGTTTAACTTTTAACCTTGACGGAAAAGTATGGTAATAACTAGGTATATACAGTTTTCTGTATGTACAGAATAGAAAGGACACACAGGTAAAAAAAGAAATTCATCCTGTGTAACATTAAAATCACATTTGTGACATGTGAGCACATTGTCATTAATATTATCATTATAACGTTGTTGTTGAACTTTCGACTAATGGAATAAGACAGCGAAATGTGTGTAAAATACGTATTGGGTCCTTGTTATGACAGAGTTCCAATATGTATTTTTCAGGTTCCAGGGCGGACTTTATTGTTCCATAGTCTTTTAGAAAAGATGATGATGTTATCCTAGAATGCCAATTTTGAATTTCAATGTCTTGATATCTTCGTAAAAATTCACTTATAAACATTTAAATATTCCGCATTCCTGTATTAACCAAACATAAGTAAATCCAGTTGGGAATAAAAGTAGATGCGCGTGTGTGACTATCATCTTGCAGCTTTAACATTTAATAACATGATTTAGAATGTCCATGATCATCCATGTGTAATAATCTGCACCAATAGTTGATACATCTGCTGTAATATTTAATACTAGTACATAATTGGGTTTTACCAATTACTTTTACTAACACACAGAAAACGTTTGAAAAAGAAGCATTGGATTTTCTCATTGTAAGCAGATATGAATAACCCCAGATTTCACGAACATACAATAATGTTGGGAATATTTTATGATCAAATATTGCTGAAGCAACTCTTTAAACATTTTAAACATATGGAACGAGGCTTTTTTTGATTAAAGACTTCACACGTGTTTCACATGTCTTGGACCATATTACTTTTGTGGTAAAAACAACACCTAGATATTTACAGTGTGACACAGCATTCATTTGGTTACCTTTATAGAACATTTCCTCTGTTCCTTTACGTGATATTCGAATATTGCTAAGACAGTAGAAAACCAACCATCCTCACCCACTCACTCAACATAAAGGGACGCTACAATCCTCCCAGCGAACGTTGGGGTCCATCGTATAGCACCACGGTACTGAAGACCCGGGCATTCTACAGTAGTTGCTCTCGTTAACTAGGGCGGGGTCCCTGGCTGACATTCCTCAGGGGTAATAGGCCCTAATGTGGGGGGTGGCCGTGTCCCATCTCTGACATGTCCGACCAGTGTTGGTAACGTTCAAGGTTCCGAGATAGAGCGTCGAGTTCGTGTAGCACAGCTCCTCTGAAGGAAATAGAAGAGCGGGTTCTTATCATATAAAACCCCAAAGACAACAGTAAAATCCAGGCCGAAATACCACTGAGTGCGAAATGAGAGTTTTGAATTCATGAAATCAATATAAAATAAGTTCACGCCCAAAATGTGTTATTTTCCAGTGATAAGGAATAATTGTTTGCAAGCCAAACAGCAAAGCACGCTTTTGGGGAAACTTCATTTTCCTCACATGCCGCAGTGAAGCATGAATACTGCCACTCTTGACATGGTTATACTGATCCGGGTAGGTCGACCAGTCCTTGTTGTGCCCGTTAATGCCGAGCGTCAGGCGGGACCAACAAGTACCATATTTTAACGTCTTTTGGTATGACGCGGCCGGGGATCGAACCCGAAAGACCTTCCGCATATCTATATGTGGACGAATCTAACCACTTGACCACGTTAGGCGGTGGTCGTGATGAATGTGGGCATGTTAGTGATAGCATGTTGTATACGTGATGACTGTTGGCATGTTAGTGATAGCATGTTATATACGTGATGACTGTTGGCATGTTAGTGATGGCATGTTATATACATGATGAATGTTGACGTGCTAGAGATGGCATGTTATATACGTGATGAATGTGGGCATGTTAGTGATGGCATGTTATATACGTGATGAATGTGGGCATGTTAGTGATGGCATGTTATATACGTGATGAATGTGGGCATGTTAGTGATGGCATGTTATATACGTGATGAATATGGGCATGTTAGTGATGGCATGTTATATACGTGATGAATGTGGACATGTTAGTGATGGCATGTTATATACGTGATGAATGTTGGCATGTTAGTATGGCATGTTATATACATGATGAATGTTGGCATGTTAGTGATGGCATGTTATATACATGATGACTGTTGACGTGTTAGAGATGGCATGTTATATACGTGATGAATGCTGGCATGTTAGTGATAGCATGTTATATACGTGATGAATGTGGGCATGTTAGTGATGGCATGTCATATACGTGATGAATGTGGACATGTTAGTGATAGCATTTTATATACGTGATGACTGTTGGCATGTTAGTGATAGCATGTTATATACGTGATGACTGTTGATGTTAGAGATGGCATGTTATATACGTGATGAATGCTGGCATGTTAGTGATAGCATTTTATATACGTGATGACTGTGGGCATGTTAGTGATAGCATGTCATATACGTGATGAATGTTGACATGTTAGTGATAGCATTTTATATACGTGATGACTGTTGGCATGTTAGTGATAGCATGTTATATACATGATGACTGTTGGCATGTTAGTGATAGCATGTCATATACGTGATGAATGCTGGCATGTTAGTGATAGCATTTTATATAATTTGATGACTGTTGATGTGTTAGTGATGGCATGTTATATACGTGATAAATGTGGGCATGTTAGCGATAGCATTTTATTTACGTGATGGTGATAACATATTATATAAACATGATGAAAGTGGACATGTTAGTGATAGCATCTCCACATCTGTGAAGAATGAATATGCGCATGTTAGTGGTACCATGTTATATACGTGATGCATGTTGGCATGATAGTGATGGCATGTTATATCTCGTGATGAATGTGAGGTGAGATGAGGGTGAGGTGAAATTGGGTTTACATCGTACGTGAGAATATTTCGCTCATATGACGACGTGCATGCGTGTGTGTGTGTATGTGCGGCTGCTCGTACTAGCCCAGACTGAAGCTGGTTTTATAGTGCTAGCCCACTGAGATACCATGCCGCAGTGAAGCATGAATACCCCACTCAGACACATTATACTGACTCCGAGCCGACCAGTCCTTGTTGTGCCCATTAATGCCGAGCGTCAGGCAGGGACCAACAAGTACCATATTTTAACGTCTTTTGGTATGACGCGGCCGGGGATCGAACCCGAGACCTTCCGCTCTCCGGGCGGACGCTCTAACCACTACACCACGGAGGCGGTCTCGTGATGAATATGGGCATGTTAGTGATGACATGTTATATACGTGATGAATATGGGCATGTTAGTGATGGCATGTTATATACGTGATGAATGTGGGCATGTTAGTGATGGCATGTTATATACGTGATGAATATGGGCATGTTAGTGATGGCATGTTATATACGTGATGAATGTGGACATGTTAGTGATGGGATGTAATATACGCGGCATGAATGTGGGCATGTTAGTGAGGGGCATGTTACATACGTGATGAATATGGGCATGTTAGTGATGGCATGTTATATACGTGATGAATGTGGACATGTTAGTGATGGCATGTTATATACGTGATGAATGTGGGCATGTTAGTGATGGCATGTTATATACGTGATGAATGTGGGCATATTAGTGAGGGCATGTTACATACGTGATGAATGTGGGCATGTTAGTGATTGCATGTTGTATACGTGATGACTGTGGGCATGTTAGTGATGGCATGTTATATACGTGATGAATGTGGGCATGTTAGTGATGGGATGTAATATACATGATGAATGTGGGCATGTTAGTGATGGCATGTTATATACGTGATGAATGTGGGCATATTAGTGAGCATGTTATATACATGATGACTGTTGACGTGTTAGAGATGGCATGTTATATACGTGATGAATGCTGGCATGTTAGTGATAGCATTTTATACGTGATGACTGTTGGCATGTTAGTGATAGCATGTCATATACGTGATGAATGTTGACATGTTAGTGATAGCATTTTATATACGTGATGAATGCTGGCATGTTAGTGATGGCATGTTATATACGTGATGAATGTGGGCATGTTAGTGATGGCATGTTATATACGTGATGAATGTGGGCATGTTAGTGATGGCATGTTATATACGTGATGAATGTGGGCATGTTAGTGATGGCATGTTATATACGTGATGAATGTGGGCATGTTAGTGATGGCATGTTATATACGTGATGAATGTGGGCATGTTAGTGATGGCATGTTATATACGTGATGAATGTGGACATGTTAGTGATGGCATGTTATATACGTGATGAATGTGGGCATGTTAGTGATAGCATGTTATATACAAGTGGGCGATTTACCTTGATGACATTTATAGCTCCCACCCTGTTCTGTGCATGTGTCGTTCACACTGCATGGTCTGGACCCACAAATACCGACAAGTCGCTGAAAAGATCAATGTTCAGTTGATTAATGCCGAATTTGGGAACAGCGGTTGAAATATAATCTGTTCTTTATGGAATACTTCCTCAACTTCCTAAGTTATAACATATAGTATACTTAGCAAGCAAAAGGAACGTCATTTAATGTTTTGATTGTATATTTTTGACAACATCTCCAACTGTAACCCGAGCAAAGACATTCCCTTCCAAATTCCTTCCTGGAACCCAGGAAATAGTCTCAAAACGCAACCTGATACCGGAGATGGTACGGTGTTTTCCATGTTTTTCATGCAACTCATGCTGCACGTGCTGTTCACAAGGACCAGCCCTATAAAATACACCCCAAACGTTCACATTACAACGTCAGCGGGATGCCGCGACTTTCACGACAGCTCCTGTGAGAGGAACCAGGCGCTAAGAAGACTTGAAGCTGGCCACACTGCACAAGTCGTTTCAAATCACTTCCAGGTCAACGTTCGGACCATCTACAGCCTGCAGCAACGTTTCCGGGCCACCAACACCACAAATGATCGGCCCCGTACTGGCAGACCAAGGGTGACCACAAGACGACAAGACCGCCATGTTGTGCGACAGCATGTACAGAATCACTTCATGCAGGCATCCGAAACAGCACGCCAGACAGTGGGAACACACGGGAGACCAATCAGTACTGATACAGTACGCCGACGTCTTAACAGCGGGAACCTCCATTGCCGTAGACCTTACCGTGGACCTATCCTCACCCCTTGTCATCGGCGTGAAAGTCTACAGTTTGCCCTACAAAACCAAAACTGGCGATAGAGGTAATGGAGAACTGTTCTGTTCACAGATGAGAGTCGGTACTGCGTATCAACTGCAGATGGCAGAACAAGAATATGACGACGACGTGGCCAGCGTTACTTACACCAATGTGTTATGGAAAGAGACTCATGGGGAGGTGCAAGCATCATGGTATGGGGTGGAATAGGCTTGAACCAGAGAGTGGGTCCTGTGGTGTTCCAGAACCTTGGTCCAGGGAGAGGAGGCGGCATCCGACCAAGCTCTCAGACCCGACGTCATACCGCACGTCACCGTCCTACAGCACGTCACCGGAACGGTGTCAACATTATGCAGTGGTCAGTCCTTAGTCCTGATTTAAACCCAATTGAACATCTTTGGGATGAAATTCAGGGGAGACTGAATAATGTCATACCAAGGCCGAACACAGCCGATTTATTGCGCCAGGCCTTTCTCAGAGTGTGATTCCAGGTGCCAATGGCCTTTATCAATCGATTGGTGCACTCAATGCATAGACGCTGTGCTGCAGTTATTGCCGCTCGTGGTGGTCACACTAGATTCTGAAGTCAAGCGTCTGAATGGACTGCAAACGTTCACGTAATGTCTTGAGTTATTCATTGACGTGTCAGGATATTGTACACAAAAATGTTTTTGATCTGCTTATTATGTCAATTTCTGTAATGATTTGATTACAGTGTCTATCTAATTTTGAATTCGTACTGACGTTTGTTTTGCTGCTGAGTATATATGCCAAAGCCAAACAGTGTGTAAAGGGTGTCTGTACCATACTGGTGACACGTGGATCTGTACCATACTGGTGACATGTGGATCTGTACCATACTGGTGACATGTGGATCTGTACCATACTGGCGGCATGTGGATCTATGCCGTACTGGTGACCTTTCGATCGGTCCCATACTGGTGACTCGTGGACCTGTACAATGTTGGGGTCATGTGGATCTGCACCAGTGGTCCAAGATCTGGAAGTACGAGGAAGACGAATGGCGGTGATGACTGACAAGACAAGTGGCAGTATAGCTCTCCACCAGTACCACTAGAAGAAGACTTATCGCTGCTTGTCTGAGAGAATGCCACCACGTCAGACATCCAGGAGGAACGTCCCCAAGGAGGACATGGCGTAGGGTTCATTGGTCCAATGAAAGTGGCTAACGTCTGCACGTTACGACAGCTGCTGCTGCGTATGGAGACGTCGTAACGAGGCATACTACCCGGAGATGGTCCATGCAGCAGAAACATTTGGATGTGGCCGTCAACGTCTATTTGCAGGGCAACGCCACTGAAACGTTACCATGGCCCGAAAGGAATATTGATATTTACCCATCGCCAAGATCGAGCTGGAGATATTCCTGTTGCGAATCTGCAGGAACGGAGACAGACATTCCATGTGGAATGGCAGAGGATCTCAAAGCTGAAACATGGAGGCTTGATTGGCAGTAGGAGGAGACTGTCAGATGGTATCCGTTTGAGGGGTGTCTACACCAAGATTGTTGATTGAGTTTAGGTTTACGCCGCTTTTAGCAATATTCCAACAATATCACGGCGTGGGACGCCAGAAACGGGCTTCACATGTTGTGCCCTTGTGGGAAATCGAACGCGGGTCTTTAGCGTGACGAGCGAACTCGTAAATTTGGTTTTCAAAGCATATACAACAGCATGTAGGTTTCTGGTACAAATAGTATGCATAAGTAGATGGTGCTTGGTTAATGCTCATGTGTGTCACTCTTTATCGTATCAATCGCTCTTGTTACTTACCGATGGAAAATGCAACGCGCTGGCATGGTTCCAACCAGAGGATGCTTCCATTCCAGAAGGAGCTCGAGCCGTTGTCGCGCCGGCGTAGTTGAGTTCGCACTGTCCCGCCTTGTAGTTGAAGCTGACGCAGCGAGACTGTTGCAAACATGACTTGACACAGTCCTGTAGGGTAGGGGTCTGAAGCACGAGATAGACTGACCCCACGAGTCTGCTACCAGTCAGGATCCCTGTTGTGCCAACCTCTCGACTGCATGACCCCGTGACTTGACCCCTCCCTGTCATCAGCCCCAAGAGCAGTATTGTTGTCAAGAGGCTTCGCATTTTCTAGATATTTGGTAGATCAATGTCCATCATAGAATTGTCTGACTCACGTGGCTTAAAATATGTCTTGGAAAGAAGCCACTTCCTTAACGTCTTACATAGCAGTCATGACTTTAGATCAGACACTTCCCTACCTTGTTAAATAGCGTCCGCTCTTACGTCTTGAGAGCAGAGTTATCACAGTTTCCTCAATACTAGTTTTGTTCACGGTCCACAAACTTGTAATTTTTTACAATTCCACTTCGTTGTTAAAATGATTAGTTTGATATAACTAATAAAGCATGCAACTCCGAACATTGTTTTCAGTGTCCTTTGCAAGAATAAAACAGGGAAGTCAGTTGGTCTGTCTCTTGCTAAAGCTCATTGATCGCCGTCTTGTAATCTACTTAAAATATTGCTGTAGTTTATATGTGCAATTTCTTTCACCGTACAGTTGGAAGACTAAGCAATTATAATATAGACAGCGAGCGTTACTACCAGCACCATTGCACCATTATTACATGTTCTGGAAATGACATAACACTTGATTAAATTCTGACTTCCCAGCCTACAGCTTTTCCCTCGTGTCCTGACACGAACAATAGAGACATCACTTTCCATGATTACAAGTAACCTTATCCGTCAAGATCCAGGTTAGGATTGGTCTTCAGCAACCCATGCTTGTCGTAAGAGGTGACTAACGGCATCGGGTAGTCAAGCTCACCGATTTGGTTGACACATGTCATCGTATCCCAACTGCGTAGCTTGATGCTCATGGTGATGATTATTGGACTGTCTGGACGGTTTTTTCCGTATTGCCTACAGTTGACTTTTGTTGAAGTACATTTTAGTATTTTGATTATTTACAGACCGAGGCCATATAGGTGGGTGCGTCGATAAACAAAAATAAACAACAACAACAATAACAACAACAACAACAACAACAACCTGCCACTCACGATGCGATCATTCAGAGCATTGGTATACCCTACAGCAGGGCGTAATCAAATTGTAATTGGGTAATTGCTGTGGTTGCGTAACAATTACGTCTCACGGGAAAAGGGATGGGCAAGTGTGTCTATTGCGCGAAGTGCTCCAGTCAAAGATGACACAACACAAAAAGACAGTAATAATATGTATTAAAATAAAAGGTCTTGGTTACAGAGTTGCAAGTTCCGACTGCACAGTCCAGGTGAAACCTAAAAAACAAGCTGGCTTGTTGTCACCTCGACAGTGCAGGCAGAAAGAGCCATTGTACAGATACAATTATGAAAATTAACAATAATCCGAGTGATATACAGGATGTGACGACAATACTTATTAGGGGAAACAATAGTATTAGAGAATATATAAACACAATATTGGAACAAAAGTATATGTGCATATATGAGCACACAACCCCAAAGAGTATTTACATAAATAACTTTAATTATATAACCCAAAAGAATCGTCACACCCCTCCTATCAGAGGATTTACATAGGGCCCCACCTGAGGTGAGGTGAAAGTCACATTAACTTTAAGGGCCAATGGGAAATATAAAAATACATATATATACACAAAGTGGGGCAAAATTTATACCCAACACATTTGGAATATATGATACAGAAAACCGGTTTGATTGATATAAACAATAGCCACGACAGGACACCTGGCCTGTACGACACATGTGGCTAAGGGAAATGGGGTATGACTGCCTGTTGGATGATCATACTAGTCAATATGAGGCTAGCTCCAACAGAATGTCAATACACCCAGTAGGTACACCACTTGGGGCTACCCAGAATGAACACCTAATTATAGTAAATAAATTGATAATATGTAATAAACGGATATTACATGATTTATATTACTACAATTTGTAGGTATATTATTGGCCATATAATATAATACATTATATTATTATTGAATAAACTGTGACTTCACTTTCACATCAAGTGGGGAAACATACTAAAACATGATTGATGTAACAACATGTAGAAATATTACGTTTGATGATACGCGTAACGCCAGACGCGAAGAGAACGAGAAAATAATCTTGTTCAGAAAATAAACAATATTCAAATGCTGAATATGCTATTACCCATCAGTAGCACTTTACAGATATACTTGATAAAGTGACATGAGATGATGGTAGGCTTTTGCTATGTTAGAATAAACATGAAGCAGACGACGGACCCTAGGTTTGTTTACATCCGGTGCAGCCATTTTGTAATGGAGCCGGACGGGAGCCGGAGAATGCCGAGGAGAGCCGAAGACAGCCCAGGCTGTGTGCTGCTCAGTGGAGAGGTCAGCACTGGTCAGTGAGCATGACCGCCACTAATTGGTTCCAGCTGATACCGTGATACTCTAACTGAGCACATGGTTTGGAAACCGGGACAGTGATACAGCCACTTTTTAATTTAGAATAAAATGGCAAAAGAGTTCTGTTGTTAACAGCAACAAGTTGTAAATAAATGGAATTTTGAATTTAGCAATGAGCTAGAGACAATTTTGACTGGCAGGTCAAATAAGCAAATTAATGCTAAACACACAAAGTACTTTACTAAAATGAATTTCTAGATGAAAATATATTACAATGAGTACATGTCATTTATTCTTGCCATCGAGTGCACGTTTGGACAGTCACAGATGAGTGACCTTTCGCCAGTTTGGCACAGCAAGAATAATTGATGACAGTGACCCAACACTTGTTTTAATTGTGATTTATCAAATTAAATAATGCATTAATTTAAAAGCCGCAGATAATTACTTATCCTGCTAACAACATAACTATGCATTGGAATTTAATACAGAAGACCCAGTTGCAATATGGAAGCAAACTGAGGTTCTTACCTAAAAAACAAGCTGGCTTGTTGTCACCTCGACAGTGCAGGCAGAAAGAGGAAGATTTCAGGCTTGGGGGTCCCACGCTCCCTCTTGCCCCTGTCATGTGACAACATAGCCCCTGGGGATTGGCTAAAAAACTGTTGCTATGGAAACCATGGCACCAGTGCCTTGAGCCCCAGAACCCTATCAGATAACTGGTAAAGGGCAGGATATTGGGTTACTTGTGCAAGAGACTAGGACAAAATATCCAGCCTTTACACGATTAATTACAGACCGCAGTCATATAGGTGGAATATTACTGCGTGCGGCGTAAAACAAAACTCACTCACTCACTGGCAATGGTGTTACTAGCCTGATTCTATAGGGCTAGTTGAATACATAATTACGAGATAAAGGTACTCAGATAGGAGCTTGATAACTAATATATTTTAATGGATGTCCTCGCGCCAAACTGAATTTGGAACTGATTTCGCTGTACGTTTACTTCCATTTCACCATGTCAAAATTATAATTAGAAACTTTGGGGGTACCTAATATTGATTGATTGGTGATAGCTCTGGGTGGGATGTCCATTCCCAGGCATGAAACGCCGTCGCTAGATTTCTAATTCATACTGGCGCTTTATGTGCTTGAAATTATTTTCTTATATCGATATTTTATATGTGCATATGTGTCCCACATGAAGCTAAGAAGCTTACCGATCTCAATACGAAATGACCACGCCTTAGAAGAAAAGTAAGCAAACAAGATTTTTCTATACCACTTGTCAATATGGTGACGTCACAGCATTCATTGTATGTGAGGTCCTAGTCGGCCATTTTAAAAGTCAAAAATTTCCCCAAAGCTTGAAACACGTTTAGTCAGCTTCTGTCATGATTCAAAATACAAAACGTGCTGACACATGTTCTTTGAATATTGTACTTACAGCAGATCTCGCTTTATAACCTAGAATCGTAGTCAAGATTTACAGAGCTACAGATAACTACTTGGGTCATTGACAGATAACTTCTTGGATCATTAAGTTATGTACTCGTTTGTGTTCATCTCAATTGGGTATCCTAATTTTCATTTGAGTAACCAAATAAATTGTACCCACCTCACTCAAATCCAATTGGGCATTTTGCCATTTTCCATTAATTGTAAAAATATATTTAAATGTTGGTTTACGTGTTTGTTATTTGTAATTGATCTGTAATCTGAGAAACGATAAGAACGACTGCAAGGTGCCAAGTTCAGGTGCTGAAATAGAACCTTTCAATATACCTCAGATATTTTATCTATCTAGGCTAAGATTTGACATTTTTGTGTGTACGCATTCAAGATCAAATTTATTGAGTATTTACAAAAATCCAAGCGTACTTGAACGCATCAGACTATATAGGAAATGAGTTTTCACATAATTATTTGCGTACTTTACGCGGATACGCAGCTTATCTGTACCTCTGGATTTAGAATTCATCCGGGCAACCACAAAGAGGACTTTTCTTTTGATATCACGACGATGCAGCCGTAAAATCGTTTGTTTCAACCAGACTGACTGACTGAGTTTGGTTTTACGCCGCTTTTAGCAATATTCCAGCAACATCACGGCGGGGAACACCAGAAATGGGCTTCACACATTGTACCCATGTGGGGATTCGAACCCGGGTCTTCGGCGTGACGAGCCAACGCTTTAACCATTAGGCTACCCCACCGCCCCGTTTCAACCAGAGACGGGCAGAGTGGTTTGATATCAAAAGGGACCGTAAGTAGGTCACGGCATTTCGCGAGACCTTACGTTGTTTAGTATTTCCGGTGACAAACAACCCTTCATACCTCTTCGAATGGTGTCATGGTTGTCAGTTGACAGTAAGGAACCGATAATCCTTGCAGGAATAACACATTTTCCTATCTAACCATCCCCAAATTAGCCAACTATCACGACTGCCAACAGGTGTGACAGCCAAGCATGTTTGTACACTTGGTCCGGTCTGGTAAAGTCATATTTGGCGATCGCGCAATTTGATTATACGCTTGTCACCGGAAATCTGATACGGAAAGTAAACTGGGCCCCGTCTCGCATATCACGCGATATAGTTGGCGCGCGTAAAGGGAGCCATGAACCAGCTTTGTACCGGAGGTACCTATTTCAGACTTCCTGGTGGTAGCTAGTCTGTCTCACAGTCCCTGAACCACATTAATTTCCCTACTGCTAAGCCTCTCTGCAGTGCTAAAGCCCTAAATGAAGCAAGTCTAGATTTCCTCAGGTCTGAATCTCTGGTCTCCCTAGGGCTCCTTTTCAATATTTAATTAAGCTTGTTTGTTACTATCAAAATTATATATATTCAGAGACTAAGCCTTAGTCTAGGTGGTAGCCTACTGTGGAAATTAGATTTTGTCCCAGTGATAGCAGCAGATACAGCAGAAACCCAGTTCCTTGTAAGGTACACACGTGGGGTAATCGTCGCACACATGTGACACTGGGTCCACATGCGCAGCACATCTGTTGCTCACGCGTGCAACATTGGTGCTCAACGGGTTGTACTAGGGTCTTCGCGTGTATGGTGAGTCAAATTTAAGGCAGTAGTGTACATGCTCATTATGTTTGGAACCAATTGCTTTATAGTATTCGTTATTAATCGTGCTACGTCCGAAAGGCTCCTGGTTGTGGCTGCTCCATCCAAGGCGATACAGCTGAGGAGGAATTCGTCTTGTCTTGGAGGAATCCTCCATATATCAAAGACTTGCATTTGGGTGAATTTTCCACAGGTTTGTGTCCCAATTGCGTAGATCGATGCTCATGCTGTTGATCACTGGATTGTCCGTTCCAAACTCCATGTGCGGCGTAAAACTAAACTCACTCACTCACGGGTTTATGTGTTTTTTTTGGTGTGAATTATGCATACCTATGGGCATTCTCTTTGAGGAATCCTCCATATATAAAAGAGTTACTTTGGCGTGAATGTTCCACACGTTTATGTGTTATCTTTGGGGGAATTATCCATACATTTACATATTGTTATCTCGCCAAGGGAGGTTTATAAGGTCTTTCCTCAGCAGTTAAATCAATTATTCAACCCGTGCGATTACCAGTAGAACCGAGTCAACAGGCAACAGATTTTTATTCCCGAGAGCAAACAGCAAACAATTCAACTGAAAATGTCACACATACCTCAGAATGATTTTGATTTAAAGAGTAAACCTAGGGAGTGTTGAGTGAATTCAGATTTTGCTGAATTGTTGATGACAACCACTGTCCACACCCATTGTAAGCTATATAGTGCTCAACGTTTAGTAAGGACCACCTATTTCAAAGGTACTTGTGCATATAATATGGACATAGCAAACACAAAATATTTGTTTAAGAAGGACAATTTCATTGTCATGCAAAACACATTTCCAGCAAACATCATGTGGCAAATAATCAGTCAGATTATTATAAAATACGAAAACAAAACCATCGACCATTCTTGATGCACAAGACCCATGAAGATCCGGGTTAGAATTGATCTTCAGTAACCCATGCCTGTCGTAACAGGCGACTAACAGGATCGGGTGGTCAGGCTCACTGACTTGGTTGACACATGTCATCGTATCCCAATTGCGTATATCGATTGTCATTTCCAGACTCGATTATTTACAGACCGCCGCCATATAGCTGGAATATTGCTGAGTGCGGCGTAAAACTAAACTCACTCACTCACTCACACACTAACACTAACACTAACATATGACAAGTATTTGTCATTTTCGAAGATATTTAAATGTGTCTCCAATGGCGAGTGTTACGTTCTTGAATCCGTAACGATTGGAGAAGACAGAAGGGGTGCGCCGTTTTGAGATAGGTAGAATGTTCGAACTTCGCTTGCAGACAAATATCTCGAACAAGCACGCTTCCTTGTTTGCAAGACCCAATTGTGGATGCTCTAAAGCATGCCTATGGGGCAGATAATTGGAAAGTACAGCTTTCTGGATGTTGAAGTTGGTGGTGCAATGAACTACCAAATTCTAAATGCACATCAAGGACTGATGGTTCAACAGTGTGCGAAACAGTCACTGGCCCGCTAGCCCGTGGCTAGTAAAAAATTCAGGCATAGCTAGCCGGACCGGCTAGCAAAATTTGGAAACTAGTTCGCACACTGTGGTTCAAATACAAGGCATCAGCTCATACATTAGGCTAACATCTACAAAAAAGAATCATTAAATATAATTAACAGGAGCCCAGATACTTTCTTCATTTTCCTGAAACTGTGGAAATCTAGACTTGCCACATATTCCAGACTTGCATGGGCTTTCTTGGGTATATTTGGATATATTTCAGGGTCTGTATGACCGACTACTCATAAATATGTATGTATACATTTGGAACCTGATCACTTTCAGTTTAAATCCCCACTCCCACGCCTCTAAGCACTATCATCAATCTGTTATTGGATACACATTATGAAACCTGTCAAGGTCCGGGTTAGAATGAACCTTCAGTAGCCCATGCTTGTCGTAACAGGCGACTAACGTGATCGGGTGGTCAGGCTCGCTGGCTTGGTTGACAATTGTGCAGATTGATGCTTATGCTGTTGATCACTGGATTGTCTGGTCCAGACCCGATTTAATTACAGACCGCCGCCATATAGCTGGAATATTGCTTAGTGCGTCGTAAAACTAAACTCACTCACTCACTACACATTATGACGTCATGTGTCATGCCCTTGAGGTGAAAAACATGAACGAATGTCATCAGTGATTACACAAACTGTACTGCTGTAACAACCGCTCATAGCCTAATCTGCATAAAAAATTAAGAATATGTCACCTGATCAACTGAGTTATCGCTGTATCTACTCCGGTTTTAAAAGCGTCCGTACGTTTCACCAAAGACCCCGGTTTGATTGTCCGTTTGGTTACAATGTGTCAAGCGCATTGTATTGATATATAGCTAAACATGGTGCGAAACCAGATTCACTCACTTATTCAGCATGAAGGGACGCTACAATCCTCCCAGCGAACGCTGGGGTCCATCGTATAGCACCACGGTACTGAGTGCCCCGGCATTCTACAGTAGTTACTCTCGTTAACTAGGGCGGGGTCCCCGGCTGACATTCCCCTGGGGAAATAATACCTAGTGTGAGGGGTGTCCGTGTCCCATCTCTGACATGTCCGGCCAGTGTTGGTAATGTTCAGGGTTCCGAGATAGGGCGTCGAACTCGTGTAGCATAACTCCTCTGAGAAAAGGAAACAGAGCCATGTCATCATAATGCCACAGCAAATAGACGCCACCTCCTTAATTAAATGTTTAAATTACTTTCATGAGGATCGCTAAATACTTGGTTCACCTGTGATCAAAATCGAAGTGGTTCGTAAAGGTAAAGTGTGATGATATGTTAGTGGGAGAATGTCATATATGACGGGCTCGATCTATGGAATCCAGCTTACACCTACCTGCAACATCAGGGAATAACTTTGTTGCACCAGAACAAAAACACAAAAATAGGTTGCACCTGCTGCTAAATACAAAATATAAATACCGTTTATGAGTTTTGGTATTGATGATATCGAGCACCGTTACAACACAATATTAACGTACTCCGGGTGTAGGCAAGTAAAGATATGAGGTTGCATTTTGAATTTACACGTCAAGCCTGTACCAGTTCTAAATCGAGTTCTGTATGCGTGTAGCATGTCATTTACCTGTTGAATGTGGACATGTTAGTGATAGAGTGTCATACAGGTGATGAATAAGATAAAATAAGATAAGATAAGATTTTATTATCCAGTAGGAAATTCTTTTTGTATCAAACAACGGCCTCAAAATGAATATATACAAAATTCACAAAAATATACACAGTAATTACATGCAGAGGCTGAGTTAGTAGTTATCGCATGCATGATTACTATTCAAAAACATTTGTTGCATTAATAACACGAATACAGGATGGTATGAAGGACTGTCGAGCTCTGTTTGTTTTGAGCGAAGGTAATCGAAAGCGGCGTCCAGATGGAAGTAGTTGAAAATGGTGAGATAAAATATGTGAAGAATCAATTCTAATTTTAGTTGCCTTCTTGACAATCTGGCGCTCATAAACAAAGGGTATATACTCGAAAGACACTCCAGTAATTTTGCTGGCAGTATTAACAATTTTGAAAAGTTTGTTTTTGTTGCGAGCAGACAGACCCCCATACCAACATAACAAATTGTAGGTCAGCACACTTTGGTTTGATAAAAAACGGTCATTAGTTTCTTAAGCGGCGAAGAAAATAAAGTCGCTGTTGGCCTTTTTTGTAAATGTGATCGATGAGTTTTGAAAACGAAAGTTTTGAATCTAGAATAACACCAAGATGTTTGTAAAGGTCCACTCTTTCAAAATCTGCATTATCAATTATAAGAGGATGTAGAGGTTCCTTATTTCTCCGAAAATCAACCACCATTTCCTTAGTTTTCTTTACATACAGAAAAAGACAATTGTCTTTACACCGAGATAGAATTTTTGTCAATGCTTTGACGATAATTATGTTCAGAATCAGAAATTCTGCCAGTCAAAGCGGCGTCATCTGCGAATTTCACAGTAAACACGTCATTTAATGTCAAAAGCAGTCATTGGTATACAAAATGAAGAGTAAGGGTGAAAGAACACAGCTCTGCGGAGCTCCGGTAGAGGTTGAGAGCAAATAAGATTGATAACCATTGACACTGACATACTGAGATCTATGTACCATGAACTCTTTAACCCATTTGATAATGTGCTATTAACGCCTATATTAAACAGTTTACTTATCAAAAGGTGTAGTTGGATGGTATTGAAGGCGGACGAAAAATCAATAAAGAGGATTCTTACATAGTTGTTACAAGTCTCCAGACGAGAGTAAATATTTTGCAGGAGGGTTAATGTTGGGTGGAATGTTGACATGTTAGAGATAGAATGTCATACAGGTGATGAATGTAGAAATGTTAGTGATAGAATGTCATACAGGTGAATAATGTGGACATGTTAGTGATAGAATGTCATACAGAGGAACAATGTGGACATGTTAGTGATAGAATGTCATACAGGTGAACAACGTGGACATGTTAGTGATAGAATGTCATACAGGTGAATAATGTGAACATGTTAGTGATAGAATGTCATACAGGTGAATAATGTGGACATGTTAGTGATAGAATGTCATACAGGTGAACAATGTGGACATGTTAGTGATAGAATGTCATACAGGGGAATAATGTGTACATGTTAGTGATAGAATGTCATACAGGGGAATAATGTGTACATGTTAGTGATAGAATGTCATACAGGTGAATAATGTGGACATGTTAGTGATAGAATATCATACAGGTGAACAATATGGACATGTTAGTGATAGAATGTCATAAAGGTGAACAATGTGGACATGTTAGTGATATAATGTCATACAGGTGAATAATGTGGACATGTTAGTGATGGAATGTCATACAGGTGAACAATGTGGACAGGTTAGTGATAGAATGTCATACAGGTGAATAATGTGGACAGGTTAGTGATAGAGCGTGTCGGAAGTGATAGAGAGTCATATAGGTGATGAATGTGAAGTCGTCAGTGACAGAATGTCATACAGGTGATGAATGTGGTCATGCTTGCATGCTGTGATTACACAGATGGACATGCTGTTGGTGCAAGACGATATTGTGCACATGTTAGCATGGTCTGTTTATACAGAAGAACATGGTATGCATCACCTGGTTCACATTCATAGCTACCGCCCTTGTCTCTGCACATTTCGTTCTCGCCACACGGCTTGGAACTACAAATACCGGCAAGTCGCTGAAAAGAAGATCAACATCCACAGTTTTTTCATACCCTTATTGCCAGCGTCAACAATTCGGGCCAGCGGTAAGTTCAAATGATGAAGGACCTAGTAATACTCGGCTTTCGGCACATGAAGGCCAACGAGAGACGGTATATGTAAATGATTAAGGACCTAGTAATACCCGGTTTCCTGTAAGTGAAGGCCAATGAATGTTCGTATAAAGAGGGACGTTTATGTATTATATACAACCTATTATACATTTGTCTACATTGGAATTTAGCACCCAGGATCCCGAGTAAAATCTCAAAAGTGAAGAAGGTTGCGCGAGAATTTCGCTTGCGCGACACTGGATATGGCTACGGCTATAAAATTACACTCAAATGTAGAATATCACATTTCCTATCCGATGATGTAAATACCAATACTTAGGCGGTTTGAAAAATAGACACTGCTTAGTGTTATCCGAAATTTTGTTGTACGTAAAAACAGTAAATTCCTCCATTTCTCATTGCGCACCGATAAACGCACTATGCGACGATTTGTTTTATTTGGTAAAGTGTGAGCGAACAAAAAACTGCGTGATACGTGAACGACGTAAGTATATACATTGGGTTTGCCTCCGTATTAATACTTATGGCGGCGGTGGGGTAGCCTAGTGGTTAAAGCGTTCGCTCGTCAAGCCGAAGACCCGGGTTCGATTCCCCACAGGGGTACAATGCGTGAAGCCCATTCTAGTGTTACCCGACATAATATTGCTGGAATATTGCTAAAGCGGCGTAAAACCCAACCCACTCATTCGCTCACTATTAATACTGATGACATGGACCCATACCGTACTAATGACCTCCAAGTAGTCATCACAGTTGTCATCACAGTTGTTTATCGCTCTTGTTACTTACCGATGGAAAGTGCAACCCGCTGGCATGGTTCCAACCAGAGGATGCTTCCAGTCCAGAAGGAGCCGTTGTCGCGTCGTCGTAGTTGAGTTCGCACTGTCCCGCCTTGTAGTTGAAGCTGACGCAGCGAAACTGCTGCAAACATGACTTGACACAGTCCTGTAGGTTAGGGGTCTGAAGCAAGAGGTACACTGACCCCACGAGTCTGCTACCAGTCAGGATCCCGGGGGTGTCAACATCTCGACTGCATGTCCCCGTGATTTGACCCCTCCCTGTCACCAGCCCCACGAGGAGTATTGTTGTCAACAGGCTTTTCATTGCGATGATTTGTAGACATATGTCCATCATAGCAATGTATCCATCAAACAAGGTAGGCGATGTCCTCTCACGTGGCTTAGAGTATGTCTTGGAAAGAAACCACGTCCTTCAAGCCTAAAACAGCATCCGCTTCCTTTTTTAAAGTTCAGTGTATGTCAGTACACATTCTCGTTTCCGTCCATATACTAAGCAGTTCTCTCAACGTCACCGATTAGTTTGTGGGCATGCCAGTGACGGAACGCATCACGGGAAACAATCTGTGTCCGTGTGGCTTTCAGCGTTCTCCTCGTGGCTGAAACTATGGAATCCTAGACGGGACAAAGTTGCGTTGTCGCCACAACAAAAGCAAACCAACCATGTCGACATTATCCAATGCCCGACAATCGGACAGCCACACATTTGTCCATTAGTGACACTGTCCCTATGTCGCATTCTCGCAGTTTGAATAATATAGGGGCGGTGGGGTAGCCTCGTGGTTAAAGCATTCAACCGCAGACCCGGGTTCAATTTCCCACAATGCGACAAATTTGAGCAGGTGAGCGACTTTGGTTTAATACAGCTCAGAACGATATTTCAGTATATTTCACAGTCTGTCATATTGACATTGGAGGAAAGCCTTGTTCTAATGAAAATGCAATGACATTAAACACTTATAAAATATTTTTCAAAACATTTGTATTATTTTCTAGAAAATAAATCCACCACTGGAGTTAACGAAAGACCACTGAAATCTGAAGAGGCTTATAACTATTTCTGCGCATGTGTAGATTAATTTAAATACTTCACGTTTGCATCATTAATCGAAATATGTCGCATTGCTGAGCGCTATAACGCATTTTTTACAATGTCCCTGCGTGGATCCCAGTGGCCGTGGGGTAGCCGAGTGGTTAAAGTGTTCGCTCGTCACGACGAAGACCCGGGTTCGATTCGCCACATAGGTTCAATGTGTGAAGCCCATTTCTGGTGTCCCCCGCAGTGATATTGCTGGAATATTGCTAAAATGCGGCGTAAAACTAAACTCACTCACTCACTGAATCCATATGAAACAGAGGTTGCTGTGTTACCTATGGTGGCCGAGAAGGTCCATCACTTTCTCATCTTAAAATACGGTCGCGAGAAAGCGATGGCCTTTCTCGATCACCATAGTTACTTAGACGCGGAGTACCTGAACTCGTTGATCGTATTTTCATTATCCAGCCAGCATGTAATCAGGACATAAATAATGGTTGTTAATATATACAGTTACATGCATTGTGGAGTTCATGTTAGTAAACTGACCACAGGGGAACCACTTGTCCTCAGCGAATGTTACTTTGAGACCAATTAACATAAACATATGTTCTTGAAATGACAAAAGTCTCGAAAGATTTCAAGTGTTAAAGAAAGTTCCAAGTTATAAAGATTCAATTTGCAGAACTAAATACTCCTTGAAACTTTACATCAGGTGCTCATTCAGACATAGTCTGGTTCCTGAGTCTGGTAGGTATGCACAATGGCGGTCATCACTACTGGGCGACACGCCATACATTTACTATAGAAAACGCGTGAACATGGGCCGTAGACAACATTCTTAAAGGATAAAGATCTATCTATCATCGACACAGTCGAGTAAGAGCATAACTACTAAAGGTACTCGAATGTGCTAATGGTACAATCTTCATCTTGATGACCCGGCGCTGTAGGTTCAGTCGCCATTAGAACCTGTCCTTGCGACCAGACATGGGGAAGGAAGTAGAAGTCCCATACATTAGAAAGGGTAAGAAGTACTGTAACAATCACATTTGAATGAGTGAGTAAGTGAGTGAGTATGGTTTTACATCTCCATTAGCAATATTCCAGCAATATCACGGCGGGGGACACCAGAAATGGGCTTCACACATTGTACCCATGTGGGCAATCAAACCCAGGTCTCATTAACCATTAGGCTACCCCACCGCCCCTTTTCAAGAATGAAGATTGTTCTGACTGAACTGATTCCGTCACTGAGCGTTTTGTTTGTCATCAGGATACGTTTTCTTACTGAAACCAGATAATATTCTGTAGCACAATTACCAACAGGTACAGACTCCGCCCCAGTATTAAACGAGCTGACGTCACGAGTCCGTATGTTGTCACTGACCAATGGGGTCGGTGGGGTAGCCTTGTGGTAAAAGGGTTCGCACGTCACGCCGGAGACCAGGGATCGATTTCCCACACGAATACAGTGTGTGAAGCCCATTTCTGGTGTCACCTGCAATGATATTGCTGAAATGTTGCTGAAAGTGGCGTAAAACCATTCTCACCCACCCACTGGCTATTATCTAAACCTTAAAAACATTCTAGTATCCACCACACACTACCAGTCAGGTATGTTTGGATATGGATTAAATCGATCTAACGGAGGTTCACCGATGTTCCTGTTACAACGTGAATGTGTGTTTCTGACAGTGTGTGTGTGTTCACACATCTATAATCAACTCATTCTTCGATTCTTCAGATAAAAGACATTAGTATGATGAATTTGCTACAATAAATACAGAAAGAGTTCAAAATTATTTCCCTAAACGTTTAAGTATTTCGAGTGCAAATATTCTAACACTGCATTAGTTAAATAATGGATTGTACTTTCAAACAAAAGGTTTACTCTTTATGACGAACATCGTCATTGAAGACCTCCGTGGGATTCTTGTCTACTTGAGCGAAGTTGAAGACGTCGAGGATATGAAAACATGTTTTCAATTAGAGTCGCCCGCACACTCCTTGAAACCACGAACCACATTGTGATCAGCTTGTGCATTGTTGTGAACCCTGGGGGAGTCAAGACTTAGCAATTGTTTTGCGCCTACGTTGTATATTTGATGGAACTGGTCGATGTTCCCGCTGGTGGACCAATGTCAAAGAGTTCGTCTATAGCTCTGTGGCACTCTGCAGACATTACAAAACAAATATTTGCTCCGAGACATTATTACTGTGTTGTAATTTCCAGAACGTTTATACCTTTTTACTTTTTTGCTCATAAACATCGGGATATATTCACTTCCACACAATAGTAGCAATTCAAATTAATAAAACATGTCCCGTCTCCCGATCGATGAGAAACTATTGGGAAGTTGCGGTCGTTAGGAAAACAGTAGCCAATGAGAATGTCAATCTGTAGAGGTGTATTAGAAACAACTATTGCGATAGCGATCGTCTATTGCAACATACTATTGCGACCAACTATTACAATACTATTTCAATATTATTTTTCTTCTTGAATTGTCTAATTGATTTCCCAAATTAAAGTACAGTTTATATGAAATAACAAGTTGAAGTAGCTTCAGTTTCCTTTAATAACTGACAAGAAACTTGAAGCCCAGATCAAGTAAACAGTTAAAACATAAACTCACTGAAGCTGCAAGTCTGAATCCAAACCTCTGCGCATTTATCAACGGAAGTCAGTTACTAAACTATCAGTAGTCACACATATTATCGATAGTTTTTCGTTTCTACAATCGATTAATTACTAACGGAAACTCAACAATTGCAATCAATCGATAGTTCGATGCATCGTTACAGGCCTTTGTATCAGTGTCGAACGGGAACACAGATGAGGCATTTTACAAGTTTGGGTAACTTCGGAGGTATAAACCGCAACATAATATATACATCCCATCAAACGTTTACACTCACAAGTGTCAATATAGCCACTTACTTCAGGCAACTTTTCTGAACTAAATTTTGCAAAATATTCCATACTGTTTAAAGGCATTGTTTACACAGGAACTGATGTATTGTAAAACAAATTCGTAACATTGAAAAGATTATTGTCATGAGTTCAATGAATGATAAAAATCAGTGAAAATTGGTGAATTCTTAACGAAACATTACACCCAAGCGCAGATGTTCACATGCACGATGTTTTCACATGCTTTTCAGCAATTTGATGCATGAACCCCTTGAAATTCATCTGCATTCATTCATTACAGTTGGTTTCCCCATATATATATATACATAACATATAATGAGTGTTTAAAGTGAGTCTAAACTTTTGATGGGAAGTATATATACCGAGGACACAAGGCAAGCAGGATCACTTCTATGGGCCCTGGTAGACGTCTAGGACGGGGTACCTTTTCCCCAAGGTAAAACACTTGTATTAGATTGACACACGACCGAATTGTTACCTTGCTTTGTGTTGTCTCCGTGTAGACGCCTCACTCTGCAATTTCACGACACGAAGGAACCTATTTCCCAAATTTACTTACAGTAGAAAATACAAGTTTCATCCGGCGTCCATATGAACAACGTTTCAAATCTACGTATCATCTGGCTGTCAGATTTACATACATTTTAAAGGAGTGTTGAAATAGACGAACACTCAACTGTGCATTTACATGTGTTTCACGGGATGGGTAAATCTGTCCATTGTTTCCAGCATGTGCAACAACCGTAAATGCTGTGAATGTAAGGACATGCACTTCGTATGACCACTGCCAGGTTTGTCATATATTTAATGCATATAGTTATTATATTTATTAAATATTTGGTAATGGGTAAAAGGAGTGTTCCAACATAGACACTAATTATACATGTATATCCATGGTTTTGTAGTATACCTGCCACACCGGGTTCGTTAGCACGTCCGAAACCGTGAAGGTCCGGGTTAGAATTTTGGCCTTCAGTTACCCATGCTTGTCGTAAGAGGCGATTAACGGGATCGGGTGGTCATCCTTGCTGACTTGGTTGACACATGTCATCGGTTCCCAATTGCGCAAATCGATGCTCATACTGTTGATCACTGGATTGTCTGGTCCAGACTCGATTATTTACAGACCGCCGCCATATAGGTAGAATATTGCTGAGTGCGTCGTAAAACTCAACTCACTCACTCGTAAGCGTGTCCGACTACGCCACACTGTACTGAGATAATTGGAAACACCATATGTATGAAATGCTCAATGACAGTAGTTTCATTTACTTCACAAAGACCACCACATCGCTTGGTTATATTACACCAGAATGATAATGTTTGAGAATTT